GGTTTGTTCTAGCCCACAGCTAGAAAATGTGTTGCCTACCCCTGAATTAGACCATTATTTTTCCTATAGTGGCACAATGTTACTTTGTCCGGGCTCCCACCCTGCAGAGAATAGTTATATCTGCAGTATCTGTTGCTGGCTGCTGATGTACTCCAGTGGCACCGCAATCTCAACCAAGCAGCATTCCATTATGAGGTAAACTGTCTTGCCCTGGAAGCAGAGAAGAGGGAACAGAGGAAGGAAAAAGAGAGACATCCTGGCCTATTCTCCCCTGTAGAAAGACCTACAACTTCTGCAGACAGGTCTGTGGCTCAAGGGTTTGTGAGCTAAGGTCAAGTGTAGTTGCTGCGCTGGTCTGTTGCCCAGACCGAGATGGATTTGCATGGTATTGTGTAATGAAGAGTGCACCTCTGTCCAATGCACTGCAGACAGGACACCCTATGAGGCTATGGACAGACATTACACATTGTGAGACTATCCCTACCCGACATGAATCTCTACTCATGTGATGGGTGGGTAGGAGCTCTCTGGGGCTTGTGTCGTTATGGTGTTACAGCCAAGGTTTATGGGAGGGTTCTTTTTTTTCTAGCTTATCCACCCGATCTCACCTGCCAGGACTTGATGTAAAAAGGAAAACAGAAGGAGGGAGGCTAGCCACACTACTCAGCTGTTATCCTTATTATGCTCAGAAAGCTGTTGCTGGCTGGGTGCAGACAAGCCACTCTTTGCTGGGTACAGATGTGTGTCTCAGAGGGCTGCAGAGCTCAGAGCATCTGTTTGCACAAGCACTTCTGCCTGCAGTACCCTCACTCACGGTTTTGATATCTTCTTCTGCTGCAGGCTCAGCATTGTGATGGTTGCTTGCTGCTGAGTCCCATCGGTCATCTCTCTCGATTCCTTACTTCAGGTAAGTGTGGAGATTTTCCTCCATGGAGTTCCCTCCGCGTCTGCTGGTCTGTCTCCACCTTACTTTCACTTTCGTCTCCTCTTCTTCCGGTTGCTCTGGGGCATGGTTTTTGAGTGTTCACTGTCCCGTGCCCAGTCAACTGGAACCTGCAGGAACTGATAAACTGGGGCATCCCTGCTCTCCGTGTGTCCTGCTGCCCCGCTCCTGTCAGGTTCTTCAGTGAGAAGAACCTGCCCCAGCACTTCTTATTCTCTTCTGCTCTGGCAGTGCAATCTTCGCTGCCACACACACAAACCGGTTTAAGTGATCAGAAACTGGTTTAAACCTATAACAACAGATGTTCAGTGCACATAAACCAGTTTGAAAATGGCTGAAACTGGTTTGAGATAAACCTGGTTGAATGTAGTATCAGACTTAACTGATTTGGCTCAAACGGGTTTATTGAATACCCCTTGCTGGTTTAAGATAAATCAGACGACCCCCCCCACCCCACCCCAGCATGCTCTCAGGGCTGAGTGGGGCTCTCTGCTCCACAGTAGGGCTGGCCCCTCTGCTCTGCTCCCTGGCTGCAGCTCCAGCAAGACTGCAGGCTGTTCCCCCTTCCCCCTCACCACTCCCTGCTAAGCAGGAATTCCCCCCTCCCTTCTGCCTTTCTGAGGAGGTGTCTGTGTATTAGCTAGCAGACCACATGCTGGCTATGGTCCCTGCTGAATCAACAGGCAGAATCAACAGGAAGCTGGTAATGTCCCTCTGTTGTTTTCTTAATGGGGGGATAAACACTGTTATCAATTCCTTACTGGGCTAATCAGAGCAACCTGCCAGGGCCTCACCAGGCCCCCCTCAGCTCAGCATTGTAAAAAGGAAGGAAGGGCTGCTCTCGTGCCCTCTAGCTTCTAGCCTGAGCCACTGCAGGTATGTGCCTGCATTTCTGGGATGTTTGTCCCGTTACAAAACTGATTTAGCCTAACCAGGTTACACTAACCTGCAAAGCTTGAATCAATTCAGGCTCAGGCTTTTTGAATGTCTGTCCCTAGCCTGAGAGTCTTGTAGTTAGCTTCCCAGCGGCCAGCTTCCAGTGGGAGGATCTTAACTACAAGCCTACTTTATGGAAATGGCAGACTCCTCCCTATCTTGCTCCTGTGGCGGCTGGCCAAGGGCAAGTGAGACTTGGGGGCATCTGAACCCCAAGCCGGAGGGCTTGGGCCTTCACATGAGGCCTGCCAGTAGATTAGGGAGTATCTGAAGCCCCAAGCTGAGAAGTCTGGGGTGGAGCACACTTGCCAGTTGTAGCACTACGGTGTTTGAAGGACTGAGTTTTGCTCAAATCGCCAGGTTTCCAAAGGGATGTGGCTAATTTGACCTGGAACAGGAAAACAACTCAAAAAAAAAAAAAAAAAAGAAGAGGTTTTGACTTTTAAACCACCTCAAGACCCATCCAGGAGCAGTGCTGGAGATCATCCTGGGCTGGAGGGGAGGGGGTTGTATTGCCATGAAACCTGGAAGCCAGCCGCTTCCCCGGGGGCTGAGCGGGGCTTTCCCCGGCCACGGGCTCTGTTGTCCGGCTCTTCCTCCCCTCGTGCCTCCGCGCCGGGTCCCGCTCCCCCCGCGCCCTGGGACGGGCTCTGCCCTTGCCCAGCCCCGGCGGGCGGGGAGGCGCCTTCCCCGGGCAGCTTGGCAGGGGCCGGGCCGGGCACTCCCC